GAAAATGCCGCCATGGTGCGCCAACGCAACGGGCACAAGCTGCTAGTGGCGCTCGTTGGCGACAGCCTGTTAGAGGTGAGAGAAATGACGATGACTTGTGATCGACTCTTTCTTTTCTCGCGTTGGGACTTCACTAGAATAACTGAAAAATTGACTTACTTCATGTAAGTCTGTAGTTGTTTTAGTTCTTCCTTCTCTAGGGAAAAAAATCGCAAAGTGTATTTTGTTCCGATTGGCTGCCCCTCATGTGGCTTCTGCAAACATACCCTGGTAAAAGTAGCAGGGTATGTTTGCAGAAGCCACACGATCATTGCAGTGAAACTCAATCATTGTGGCTACGACATAAAGAAATCTGCTTTGAGCTGATGTTAGGAAAGCACAAGAGTAGAAATAATTAAGCTTTGTACTGTCTGAATCGGAGCGTTTTCCTTACTCGGATTGTGCTGATCTCATTGTTTGAAACTTTGGACACACTTCATATAAGCAGCAATGCAACATATCAAAAGCATTTGTCCCCTTTAAAGATTTTCAAGAGACTGTTTTAAAATTCTTAAGACTAAGGTGTTGATTTAAAGCTCGTTTCTATCTCTGATATTTATTATAGTTTGCATATTTGACCATATTTGGGTATTGAACGTGCTTACTTTGTCTCCAGCCCTTCTGGCCCATGGGGACTGGCATAGCCCGAGGTTTCCTGGCAGCCATGGACTCGGGCTGGATGGTGAAGAGCTGGGCCCAGGGAAAAACCCCTCTCGAGGTGCTGGCTGAGAGGTGAGAGCGTGGAAACGTTAATGCATGCACGCCAAAACCTGTTCTGTTCTCGTGCTCATGCATATCTGCAGCCACACTCTTCGATGTGCTTTCTCTTCAGGGACACCCTTTTATCTCAAAGTGCTTTACTAGGAAATGTGAGATTTCAAGCATCAGTCCCACCTCTGTTAGTATTAATAGGATAAGAGTTTCTAGTAAGGACTGACTGGAATGTGCCCGTAATGTTCTGTTGTAACGCTGAGAGCAATGTGATCGCCATTTGCTACTGCGTTATCATATTACACTACTAATTTTTTGTTACATTTCACTCAGTTAAGGTCGCCCAATGGGGATGCTTTTGTTTTTTAGGGAGAGCATATACCGCCTTCTGCCTCAGACCACACCAGAAAATGTCAGTAAGAACTTCAGTCAGTACAGTGTGGATCCTACAACTCGTTACCCCAACATAAGCCTCAACTTCCTCAAACCTAGCCAAGTGAGTATGAGCACTAACAAGCCACAGTGCCTCTTTTTAAGATTTCATTATTAGCTTAAACCAAGTTGTGTTTGATGCTATTACGCAAATATTTTATTTCACAAGTGACGCTTTTTCATGCGAGAAATGATCATCTTGATGTTGCAGGTGCGGCACCTGTTCGACACGGGGGAGTGCAGGGAAGTTCGCATCGAAATCGAGAATGTGATCAACTCATCGACCCCCAAGTTGGCCAGGAATGGTTTGTGTCTTTTCTGCTTGTAGATGATAGGGCATAGGCTGGTTAATCAGTGATGTTGCTGAAATGTAATACTGAGCTATTTTCACTCTAGACAACTGCCTGCTTGACAAGCAGTTGCAAGGTAACACGAAGCCCGAGTGCATGGCGTTACTTTTCAGGGATCTTTTAAAAGTTTTAACAAATTTGATGAGTCTTTCTGTATATTTATGAATGACGTGGATACTGGAGTGATGAAACCTTTTGGAGAGACTCCATGATATTTCATTTGCGTATACTAACTCGGTTATTGATCCACTCACTCAAGCTCCATGGCTATATCGAGCATTTAACCCTTTAAAACCGGTC